CAGCACAGCACCTGGCACATTGGTCCCTGAAAAAGAATAATCTTTCATCATCATTATTCATGTGATGGGGGCAAACCATGCCCATCAATGACTGTAAAACAGAGGAGAAAGGAAAAAGCACAAGTGACCATTTGCTCGTAACCTTGGTTTCCCCTTCTATTCCCAGACTTTGTCCTTCCCACATAGACATTTTGGCCCCAGGGAAACTCAAAATTCATTGAAAGTTGAACCCTCCCATCTGATAAAAATAGTGCCAGACTCAGCCAAGTCATGAATATTCTGCCAGGCAGTACTTACTGTCATTCTGTGCAAGCAGCCCCCGCTTGGAGCAGCTGGGAGCAGGTGCCCATCTTCAATTCAGTTTCAATCCGTTGAGCATAAAAAAGCTGAGCAAATATTTGTACAACCTCCTTTGTCCTGCTCTGGAGACTTAGAGAAACAGTGAGCTACTGCCCCTAGCCTGAAAGGATTGACTAGGGGAAAACAAGAAGTCTAGGACAGGGTTATGAGGTAAGAATGATACCAGGGAGGCCCCTAGGCACCCAGGTGAGGTGGTCGATTGTCATCAGGTTCTAAGTTCCAAAGGTCTGTGCAGCCACAACCTGCCTTAAGACAGAATTACACATGCATGCAAAACATTTCTTTTGTGCCCACCACAATATCTAAATTACTGATACTTTTTTTAAAGTTCTGTTTACCATGGGTTTCCCTGGTATAAAAGTACCCACTCATTGTAAAAACTTGGGAAAAGATGAAGTACACACAAAGATGAAAATTTAAATGACCCATGATAAGTGTATGTCAAATAATAAGGTAAACATCCAACCAAGATTTAAAGTGGGATGACTAACCCATACATGCTTCCATTCCACCGCTGGCCACCCCAGGGCCTCAGGGAGATAAATATCTTGCAAAAGGTTAAAAGTCTAGGTCCTTTCAAATCTCCTGCATTCTTCCTAACACATGTATAATTTTCAAAACTGTCGTCAGGGCCTCCCTGCTCCAGGGTGGTCCATGCTCCATTGTTTATGTATATGCATGATTCATCATACTCGATACCAGCTGCGACCTCATCTCCCCGTGCCAACAGGCTTATTATACAAGTCTCTGCCCCTCCGAAGAGCAATCAGGGAGGGCAAACTCATTTTAACATCTAGCTGGGTGAAATCTAATTAGAAAGGCAAATCTGGAAGAACACAAAATAACCACGTTAAATAAAAAATAAGAGATGGCTTCAAACCTGACCTTGAGCCAAAAAAAATCACAAAGAACTCAAGTAATTTACTGAATCATAAGTCTAAATATTCATTTTGTCCTCTAAACTCTGCACCCAACCAAAAGATGTTTCTAGGCAAAAAAGAAATAAGCACTGGATGAACTCACACAAATCTTATTTGGAAATCACAAACGGACAACAAGGATTTCAGCTGTCTATTTCATCTACGACAGTGCCAGGAACATATGTATTAAAGTTGGAGGAGTGGATGAATGGACCTGGAGCCCATCCCCTTTGTTTTACAATTAGAAGTCAAGCAGAAAGGAGACAGGAGGAGAGTGGGGATCTGGTGGAACTTTCTGTAATCTTGTGACTCCTTGGAAGAAAAAATGGGAGATTAGTGCCCACGAGAGATGTGGGGCCCAGCTAACACCCTAAACTTCAGTCAGGACTGAAAATAGAAAAGATGGAAGCTGGGAAATAGCCTTGGAATTCTGAAAGACACCATTGCCAATGTAGAATTCTATGCTCAGAGAAACGAGGGACAGAAGGGTAATCAATATGCCCCAAATTAATCACAGTAATGGAAAAGAATGTGACATTCTGCTATTATTGGGTGGTGTTTCATATAGATGCAAATTAAGTCAATAGTGTTTTTCAACTCTTTCAGATCCTTACTAATTTTTTTTTCTAATTTTCTATCAATTATTGAATGAGTGGTTGACATCTACTATACTTAATTATAATTAACTTATTTCTCCTTTCAGACCTACTAATTTTTGCTTCATGTGTTTTTAACTTTTTATTAGGTACAGAGATGATTGGGATTTTATGTACACTTGATAAATTGCCCCTTTATCTCTTTATCCCTTTTAATATCTTTGATGTGAAATCTACTTCATCTGATGTTAACATAGCCACTCCAGTTTTCTTTAGGATAATGTGGTACAATCTTTTCCATCCCTTCTCCTTTAATCTATTTGTCTTTATCTTTAAAGTGGTTTTTGGTGAGTATAGAAAAGTTGTATGTTGCTTTTTTATTCAACCTGACAATCTCTGCTTTTTATCTGAGGTGTTTCAACTATTTTTATTTAATGAGATTAATATTAGGTTTAATAGTATCATTTTTCTATTTTCTATTTGTCCCATTCTACACATTTTTTACTTCTTTTTTGTTAATTGAGTATTTTTTTATATTTTCTTTCTAACTCCTTTGCTTATTTGTTATGTCTCTTTTTTTTTTAATTGTCAGTGGTTGTATTAGGGTTCTAGTATACATTTTTTAGCTTATCACAGTCATGCTAATTTTTATTTTACCACTTGATTAATAGTATAAGAAACATATTAAAATATACTTTGATTAGTCCTCCTACCCACTGAAATGTTTTTATATACTTTATGTCTACATTTTAAAAACTCATTTTATTTATTTTTAAAGCTTTATTTATTTATTTGGCTGTGCTGAGTCTTAGTTTCAGCATGCAGGATCTTTTGACTGTGATATATGAACTCCTAGTTGTGGCATGTAGGATCTAGTTCCCTTACCACAGATCAAACCTGAGTCCCCTGGATTGGGAGCACATAGAATCTTAGCCACTGGCCTACCAGAGAAGTCCCTGTATTTACAAATGTTACAAACTCCATGATACATTGTTATCACTTTTGCTTTAAACTATCAACTTATCTTTAAAGGTGATTTTTAAAATAAGAAAGAGTCATTTTATTGTTACTTATTTACCATTTCTGGTGCTCTCCATTTCTTTGTGGGGACTCGTATTTCCATCTAGTATCATTTCTTTTTGCCTAAAGGATTCTCTTTAACATTTCTCACCCTATATGTCTTGTGGTGATAAACTCTTCCAGCTTTTGTATGTCTGAAAAATATCTTGGTTTCACCTTTGTTTCTGAAAGATATTTTCACTGGGTATAGAATCCTAGATTGATAGCCTATGTCTTTCAGTTCTTTAAAGATGTTGCATCACTGATTTCTGGCTTCCCAGGTGGCTTTGTGGTAAAGAATCCACCTGCCAATACAGGAGACACAGGAGACACGGGTTCAGTCCCTGGGTTGGAAAGATGCCCTGGAGGAGGAAACGGCAACCCACTCCAATATTCTTGCCTGGAAAATCCCATGGACAGAGAAGCCTGGTGGGCAATAGTCCATGGAGCTACAGAATAGTCAGATATGACTGAGCGAGCACGAATGCACAAACACTGATTTCCATTGTTTCTGACAAGGAATCAGCTGTTATTTTTCTCTTTCTTCCTCTTTACATAATGTGTCTTTTCCCCCCTGCTTGCTGTTATAATTTTCTCTTTTCAATGGTTTTAAGTAATTAGATGATGATTTGCTTTAATGTCATTTTCCTGTTGTTTCTTCTGCTTGAGGCTTAATGAGAAACCTGTTCACTTCCCCTTGAGGGAAGGGGCTCAAAAGAGTCCTTCCACCCAAGAAACTAAAGCACTTAGATCTAGCTGCTCCCTCAATGCCCAGAGCACCCAGTATATTCTCACACATCTTATGGGAGCAAAGCGCTAAATATCTCTCACCACTCCCTACTCTGCGCCCTTCTTTCTATCCATCATGCCTGGCTCCAACACCCTATCCTACTCCCTTGGATCCTCTGTGGGTTACGAAATGGTCCAAAGTAGAGAGGTTGAGTTGAGCCATAGTCTGGGGTGGGGTGGAAAGCAGGCCTGGGAAAACTTGGGTTCTTCCTGCTGTCTTGGAGAACCAAAGATAGGATGGACACAAGTCCCTTTGAAAGAGTGACAGGCTAGCATAAGGGCAGTATGGAGGAGTGGGTAGAGAATGGAGAGCTTGCAAAAAGCCTCCACTCCCTATTGAGTACCTAGGACATGCCTGCACTATGTTGGTGTTACTGGGAAGAATAAAATCTGACTACATATTGGAGTTTTTTGTTTGTTTGTTTGTTTGTTTTGTTCACTAAAAGAATACTGTCTATATATAATGGGCTTCCCAGGTGGTGCTAGTGGTAACGAACCTGCCTGCCAATGCAGGAGATTTAAGAAATGTGGGTTCAGTCTCTGGATTGGGAAGATCCCCTGGAGTAGAGCATGGCAACCCACTCTAGTATTCTTGCCTGAAAAATCCCATGGGCAGAGGAGCTTGGCAGGCTATAGTCCATGGGGTTGCGAAGAGCTGGACCTGACTTAAGAAACTTAACATGCTATATATAACAGCCTGCTGTGGGGAACTCTGTCCCTCTGCTTGAGGGTTAAACCAAATGCCTTTGTTCAGGGAAACACCCTGACCCTGTCCACTTGTGAATGGCTGCAAGAAAAAGGAAATTAACACATCCTTGTCCTGAGAATGGCCATTCCAGGAAATATTTGCAAGATTAATTGGCTTTTTACTTTAATCCCTCACCTCTTCCCCATCTGTGTTCTATAAAACTGGCCAGACCCCCAGTAAGATGGTTATTTTGAGACACTATTCTGCCATCTTCTTGGTCTGCTGGCTTTCTGAATAAAGTTGTTATTCCTTACCTCAACACCTTGTCACCCAACTTTTTGGCCTCTCATGTGGCTTCCCTGGTGGCTCAGAGAGTAAAAAATCTGCCTGCAATGCAGGAGACCCATTTGATCCCTGGGTCGGGAAGGTCTGCTGGAGAAGGGAATGACAACTCACTCCAGTATTCTTGCCTGGAGAATTCCATGGACTGAGGAACCTGGCAAGCTATAGTCCACGGGGTTGCAAAGAGTAGGAAGACTGAATGACTAACACACACATGGCCAGCAGAGCAGGCTTGGACTCAGTAACATGGGGGCCTTGAAGACAGCAGTGAATCGTGGCCGCCTGAGCAGCTTGCTAGGTGTGTCTGGGGAGACACCTGGCCAAACAAGCAGCAGAGAGCAAGTGATCCCTGTGGGCTCAGCAGGAAAAAACATAATCCCATTTCATGTAAGGGATAAAAGCAATAGCTAGAGAGATTAAAAGACATGCTTGGATGACCCAGCAACTTAGTGCTTGAGTTAGTATAAAATTAAGGCCCAGGGCAGGTTTCTGCGACCCTGTCTCATGCTTTGCGTCAGGGCAGCCCTCCCTCCCAGATCAAGATGACTGCCCCCTTCTTGCAGGGCAGATGTGTTCAGCATGCACATTATGACATCATGATTCTCCAGCAAGGTCATTTGTGCAGAGCCCAAGTGCCTGAACAGGGTCTGTACCACCCAGAGGTGGACCCCACTCAGCTCCTGCTGCTTCATGTGGTTGTGGCTTGTCACTGCAGTGGGCCTCTGAGCTTCTCAGATAGTGATGGCCCTGAATTCCCCAGATTGCCTTGCACATGCCTCGCAATCAATAAATGTCTGCTGATCAAGTCCCTGTTAATGAATGGCGATGACTTCATCAGTAAATATTGATGGATTTGAGACTCCTGCTCACTTTGGACAAGTTGGAGCTTTTGTCAAAGGAGGCAAAAAAGAATTCCCAATAAGCTGGATGTGTTCCAGTACCTTACATGGACAAATCTGTAATTGATTCAGGGGAGTACGTGTGTGGGCGGGTTGGGGGGTGGGGGGTGGGGTGGAGGTGGATCGCTCTGTTGTCATGGTGACTCTGAAAAAAAAATTTCTTTAATGGCATCCCAGACATGAAGACTCTGAAGTAATGGCCCTTTTAAAATTGAATCATATTAATAAGATCTATCCAACTGAACCATGCTTCTTTCTTTCTTTTTCATTAGATGCATTATTAACTTAGCTAGCTGCAAGACCCCATAAATGCAAAGTGCCCATTCAAGAAGAACACCACTTCCAGCATGGAATAAATAAGATACAAGTCATTAATTCCAGAGATCCTGGCAGATAAAGAACAAGTTCTGTGAATAGTGATCTTCAGGTTATAGGTTCTTGAAGGGCCTGGGTGTGTGTGGGTCACTTCTCTTGAGTGAGTCCTCAAAACCTGGGGCAGTCCACACAAGCTAACAGACCAGGCTAATCAGAAAGCATTAGAAGGAGGCTGAGGGGAAAGAAAACAAACAACCACTCAATTACATAGAAGTTCCATATTGTACAAGAGAGGGATTGCAAGAAGCTTCAATGTCACAGCTCACCTGCCCAGTACAGCCTTTCAGCACTGGATTTGGTGATGTTTGGTACTTACTAAGCAAGCAACGTGAGAGCTGGATCATAAGGAAGGTGAGTGTCAAAGAATGGATGCTTCTGAACTGTGGTGTTGGAGAAGACTCTTGCGAGTCCCTTGGATAGCAAGGAAATCAAACCAGCAAATCCTAAAGGTAATCAGTCCTGAATATTCATTGGAAGGACTGATGTTGAAGCTGAAATGCCAATACTTTGACCACCTGATGCAAACAGCTGACTCATTGGAAAAGACCCTGATGCTGGAAAAGATTGAAGATAGGAGGAGAAGGGGATGACAGAGGATGAAATGGTCGAGGGCATCACTGACTCAATGGACATGAGTTTGAGCAAGCTTCAGGAGTTGGTGATGGACAGGGAAGCCTGGCGTGCTGCAGTCCATGGGGTTGCCAAGAGTTGGACACAACTGAGCGACTGCACTGAACTGAAGCAAGTAATGTGACAGATAGACTCTAAAATATCCCCCGGTGATCCCCACCTCCTGATAGTCACACCTTTGTACGAATAAGGGTATGATCTGTGACTTGCTTCTAACCAATAGAAAATGGCAAAGGAGGTGACACTTTTGTGATTATTTTACATAAAACATAACTTCTGTCTTGTTAACTGATGATTTTGATGAAGCAAGATGCCATATAGTGAACTATACTATGGAGAGACCCTCTGACAGGGCACACTGCACTAACAGCTAGAAATAAAGTGAGGGTCTCATCCCAACAATCCACAAGGAACTGAATCCTACCAACAACCATGTGAGCTTGGAAGTAGCTTCTTCCCCGGTCATATCTTCAGATGAGACTCCACCCCTGGCCAACTCCTTGACTGCAGCTTCATGAGAAGTCCTGGAGAGGAAGACTCAGCTAAGCCACACCTGGATTCTTGACCCACACAAACACTGAGATAATAAACGTGTGTTGTTTTAAGCCACTAGCTTTGTGATGAGTTGTTGCACAGCAATAGAAAACTATTACAAGCGCCTATGCATGTTCTTAGTGCCATGGACACAAGACAGACAGTTTGCTGCCTTCATGGACATTCTTTTCTGGTGGAGGAGACAGAAATAAGAATATTAATAAATTACTGCCGTGAAGAAAAAGAAATTAAGGCAAGAGAATAGAGAAGGAGGTGGATGGTATTTTAGATAGGGCCGAAGAGAGGTTGTCTGTGAGGATGTAGCTTTGAGCAGAGAATTGAAGAAGTGGGCGTATTAGAAGGAGCATTCCAGGCAGAGGGAATCGCAAGTCCAGAGGTCCTGGGGTGGGATCAAGTTTGGCAGGTTGTAGCCCAGTTAGTACAGGAAGTATTATAAGAGCTGAGCTCAGACAGTTAGTGGGGTCAGATCACAGATGGACCTGCAGGCTGTGGGGAGGGCTTTTTTACATTGGCCATGTGAGCGGACAGGCCTGAGCCCTTTGAGCAAGTGAGTGACATCATCTGACCTGAGAGTAAGAGTCAGTCTGGAAGGATGATCCTCTTCTAATACCCGTAACATGAACTGCACAGAAGCTACGTAGGGCCTGGAAAGTGACTAAGAGTCTCTCATCTATTTTTCTTCAGGGATTCTCCCAGAAGCCCTGTGGAATAGGTGTGACAGGTACAGGAATTCTTCCCCAGTTGCATCTCTCTAGTTCAAAAGGCTTATCCATGTGGCTGGACTCCTGAGTCCCCTCCCCACACTCAGGAGCCCCATTAGAATGGAGCCAGGACAAATGGTGTGTCATTCCAGACATGACTTGGGGACCCTGCTCATAATGTCAGAAAGATGTGATTATTTGCATGGGGAATGATGTGGATGAAAAACAGTGCTTTTCATGCACAATAATTTCAGTAAGGCAAGCAGATGTACAAGAATCTTTTTGAAATGTCAGAGAACTAGATTCTGAAAGCATTTCTTGTGAATTAATTATATATTAGGTTATTGATAACCTAAAATGTTTAAAATGCTATTAAGATGTTGGGAGTTTTTTTTTTTAAATTGATACTCTATTGTTCTTTGAGAGGTTATATATTAATAAATGTATTAGAAAGTTTTTATACTCACATTTATTATTAATCCCTCAACCTTATTTTTTGTAAGGTTTGAGTTCCACACATGCATTGTTTTTGTTGAGTAAACATAAACCTCAGATTTTAAAACAAAGTCTGTATCATCCCTGAAGTTAAACATATTAAGTAAAGGGCCTCTATGTTTTCTTGGTGGGTCCTGCTTGTTTGGACGACGGGAGAGGAGTAAGGCAGGAAACCTAACCATATTGAAAAACAGGTGACTAAAACCTCACTCTGCCCTCCATCTATCCCCTCATCCGTCCCTTAGTCCACCCAATCCATCCATCCACTCCAACATCCATCCACTTATCCACCCATCCATTCGTCTGTTCATCCATCCATCCAACAAGTATTTAAGGAGCACCAGAGTCAGATGTTGTAATGGAATCATGGAGATTAGGCAGACATGGTGTGTGTCTTCACATAGTAAATCTTTGCCCTTCACACAAAGCAGGGTACTTTCCCTCAAGCAGCAAGTCCTCACTGCTCTGGAGCTCTCATTTATGCAATCACACATCTCAGCCTTGCTGGGGGATGTCCAAGTAAACTTTGCTCTCCAGTCTTGGGGACCAGAATCCAAGAGATTTCCTCAAATCACTCTGTGAGATGGTTGTAGTCAGAGTGGACCATCAGAGGTCTCAGACTGATCATCAGATCCAAAGTCCTTCTGATGCCTAATTCACAGAGAAGCTCTTCTAGGTACCAATATTAATAACACACAAAGCTTTCTGAGCAAATATTCAAGTGCATTGAATAATTATGACATATCGGTAAGATTGATGAGTATGTTCTTAATTTTTAAAAGTGTATGGTTCTTTTTAGGTTCTATTCCTCTTCTGGTTCTGCCCTAAAATTCTGATGTGTTCCCCAAGGTTATATTCCAACTGTTCCCCTTTATGTACCCTGAGTGATCTCAGCCGCTTCTTTTACCAAATCTGAATCCTGGTCCGACTAGATTTCTTAAGCCCTTGACTTGTGTGTCTGTTTTCCTGCTGGACTCCCATGTCCCAGAAGGGATAGAAATTCAGTGCATCCTAAACCAAGCTCATGGCAAGTACAAAATCAAGTCCCCAAACCCTAAGATCTGATGAATGAAATCCACAGGGGATGTCTTGTGGGCTCTCCAGAGTAGCACAGAGAGACTATAGCTAATTCAGGGACATGAACCCAGCTCAAGAAGGAGCAGCAGAGGGACTCTAAGTGGCAGAGAAAATCAGGCCCTCAGGCGGAAAATTATGCTATTATCCAAGGAAGGGAGACGTGGAGAGAGGGTCCTGGACAGACCTGCCATAGAGAGGAAACTTAGCCATGGGGTAGGAGGTTATTTCAGATTTCTCTGATTAAGGGCTCATGCTTCCTAAGCAGCTGAATGATTACACTGTTACCTTCTAAGCCCACTGACTCCTTCAGAACCTTCCTGACTCCAGATTAGAAGCCCACTCTGTGAATATACTCCCTTCCAGGGGAAGGGGGGTACATCAGTCTCCTATGAGTATGGTTATGTGAGCCAATCCTGAGTGGCCCGAGAATCCCAGACCAGTTGGAACCTGGACTCCTCAGGTTCCAGTGGCCTAAGAAGGCATGGTCTATTTTGTACTGCATTAATGACATCCAGTTGATCCACATTTGCACCAGGGAGCATGACCACCTTCTTGCTGTGATCTCAGGACCACTGGTTCTGCCATTTCCCTTGTTTATTCAAACACCTGAGTGTTCTTCCTTAGGAGCCATCTCTCCAGCGACTAAGTTTTCCATGCTGTTCAAGTGCAGTTTTGCACATAAGTATAAATTGAGAATTCCATGGATGGAGGGGCCTGGCGGGCTACGGCCCATGGGGGTCACAAAGAGTTGAACACGACTGAGTGACTAACACTTTCACTTTCTTTAATAAACTGATTCAATTTGGGGAGTATTTGCTAAAGAAAAACACTCCATGATCCAGAAATTCCATTTCTAGGCCTATAATAAAGAGAAATGAATGCATACATCGCACAAAAGAATGTTCATCCTAACCTTTTCCATCATAGCCAAAACCCCAGATGTCCATCAACAGAACAATGGATAAAACACTGTGGATATCCATACAATAAAATATTACACAGCAAGAAAGAAGAATCAAGTAGTGATACATGCAGCAACACAGATGAATCTTATGGACATACAATGAATGAAAAGAGGCACAAAAGGCTCATACTGTATCATTCCATCCACATCAAGTCCAAGAAGAGGCAAAATAACAAGTCATAGAGGTCAGAGTCGAGGTGACTTCCAGATGGGGAATACTGACTGTGAAGGGGTGCAAAGGAAACTTTTGGGAGCTGTACATGTATTGAGTTAGCTAAAAAGTTCATTCAGGATTTTCAAAACCTCCGTCGAGAAAACCCAACAGAACTTTTTGGTCAACTCAATACTTGTCATGATCTGGGTGGTGGCTACGTGAATATATTCATATGTGAAAATTTATTGGTTATACATTGAAAAACAGTGCACTTTTGACAATTTACTTTGCCACACTTTTTCAGGCTTCCCAGGTGACTCAGCTGGTAAAGAACTCACCTGTCAATTCAGGAGACATAGAGAGGTGGGTTCGATCCCTGGATGGGGAAGATCCCCTGGATTAGGGCATGGCAACCCACTCCAGTATTCTTGCATGGAGAATTCCATGGACAGAGGAGCCTGGTGGCCTATAGTCCATAGGGTTGCAAACAGTCAGACACAACTGAAGCTACTTAGCACGCAGGCACACTTTTCCAATGTTGAAAAAGAAAACAAAAATTGGAAAAATTTTTAAAAATTCAGCTGGTCTTGAGCAGAGTATTCCTTGAATCCAAGGAGATCAATTGTATTTAATCTCTTATACAGACTCTGACAAAGCTACATTTTTCTTCAGAGGTAGACAGTAAATATTTGAGGTTTTCTGGGCTATACCAGCTCTGTCACAATTATGCACGTCTGCCCTTGTAGCAGGAGAACAGTCACAGGCAGTAAGTAAATAAGCAGATGTGTTTGTGCACCAATAATACCTAACTTAGAGAAACAGGAAGAGCATCAGATTTGCCTGCAGACCATACTTTTTGACCTCTGATCTAATCCATTGTTGGTGACTTCCCAGGAAAATGGTTGAGACTGCTTCAAGGTTGAGAACTTCAAGGTTCACCAGAGAAGAGTGCAATGATCCATTAGTTATGTCTGTCAAAAGAATGAATATAGGTACCTGTACAACTGAATCAGAGCCTTCCCTGGTGGTTCAGATGGTAAAGAATCTGCCTGCAATGCAGGAGATGTGGGTTCGATCCTTGGGTTGGGAAGATTTCCTGGAGAAGGGCATGGCTACCCATTCCAGTATTCGTGCCTGGAGAATTCCATGGATGGAGGAGCATGGCGGGCTACAGTCTGTGGGGTCACAGAGAGTCAGATACAACTGAATGACTAACACTTCATAACTGAATCACTTTGCTGTACTCCTGAAACTAACATAACATTGTAAATCAACTATTGTGCTGTGCTAAGTCACTTCAGTAGTGTCTGACCCAAAGTGGAACATTAGAATTTCCTCTTCATAAAATTCCCTGAGCCACTTTTGCCAACTAGAGCACCTCTCCAGGGCACCATTCTTCTCTGCCCTCTGTTTTTTTTTGGATTTGTTTGTTTTGGCTGCACTGCGGGATATGCAGGATCTTTAGTTTCCCAACCAGGGATGGAACCTAAGCCCCCTGCATTGGAAGTGCGGGGTCTTAACCACTGGACCGCCAGGAAGTCCTCCTCTTCCCCTCCGCTTTGCTTTTGTTCACAGCCCAGCAGTGGCAGCACCCCTCCCCACCTCGTTTTCAGAGCAGCGTAGCCCTCCCCAGACTCTACACCCACATCCAGTCTTCCTTTTACATCGTGGCCAAAGACCACATATTCCGGCTATGCAACGGGGCACCTCCTGTGAGTCCCTGCGGTGCCCAGCCTCTGCCAGGAGGAGGGGAAGAAGGGAAACTCCTCCCGCCTCTGACCCTCTGGGATGAGGGGAGACGGCAGTGGTGGGGAAGGAAGTACAGCCAGTTTTGATTTTACTTATTTATATGATTTTTATTGTAGTGCGGCATGTGGGATTTTAGTTCCCTAATCAGGGATGGAACCCGCGTCCTCTTCATTGGAAGCTGAATCCCAACCACTGGACCACCACTCGAAGTTCCCGTTTTGATTTTAGAAACCCCACACTTTAACCTGGGACACCTGCCTCGCATGCCCCCTCCGCTACGCCCAGCCCCTTCGGCAGTCCGTCTCCCTCAGTGGAAGAGATGCCTCCTTTTCCTAGAATCAAACCGCCCGAGTCTGCAATTCTCACCTCTTCTGCCTCCTCACTCCTCTACTTTTCTCCTCTTTCTCTGGGTCTCAACTACTATCTCCACTGACTTCTTTGGATCTGGATTTAAAGACTCAGTTCTCTTTCAGTCTTTGGGAGAGGGAAAGAAAAACAAAACCAAACACAAACCCGCTTTAAATCTCGTGATCCATTTCCACCTGCTGCCCTGTCTTTCTCCTCTTGTCCTCAGCCAAGATTTGGAAAAGTCGTCTCTGCTCATGGTCCAGACACCAGAGCCCCAGCCTTTCCAGCTGGCCCCCGCCGCGGTCTCCGCTCCACCGAAACCCGCTGCGTTCACACCGCGGGCGACCTCTCTGCAGCGACATCTAGCGGCCACCCCGCAGCCACTCCCCTCTCCGCTGAGTCCAAGCCGGAAACTCACCCTGCGCTCCAGACCCGGGTCCTAGGGCTTCAAGACCTCACCCCTCCTGCATCTCAGCTCTTCCTGGCCCGCCCCTGAAAGAGTAGTTCAACTGGACTCTCCAGGGGTCTTCCCACTCTGGGTGCGCTCGTTGAGCAACGCTGATGTCATAACCATCATTTCTGACCCCACGTCTCTCCTTGGAAAGTTCTGGCATCTTGGGGAAGATGATTATAACAGGGACTGTGGGTTGCATTTACTCTCCTCTTTTTGCCTAGTAACGGATCACTGATAATTACCGGGATATGTTGTTGTTCACAAAAACAGATGGTATTTCCCAGCCTCCCCTGCCTGTGGTTGTGGCCCCATGACTTGGTCCAGTTGAGGTGAACTCGTCACGCTGCAGAGCTGGGGGTGGGGAAGAGTTCACTTGGGGTCACCTCCTGTCTATCGTTTCCCCTTTCTCCTTTTCACTGACTGGAGGGAGATGTCATGTTTTACTCCACTACCAACTTGGATCATGACCTGACTTCAAGGATAGGTTCTGAGTGGTAGATCGCAAATGATGGGAGCGGTCTGGATCCTAGACAACTTGGCAGAGCCTCAACACCTGCCCTGCATGGTCATTTGGACTTCTCTTATGGGAGGAGAAAACATACATACAGAACAGAACACTGCACTGTGTGTTTAAGTCCCTATTGAATCTATTGAGTTTGGGAGTCAACAAGAATCCTGATATATCGCTCCTCCTCTTGCCTGTTGAGAAGTTAATGATCTTCTCCCATCCCAAACCTGGTCCTTCTCCCCTGTGTCTTAACACCCCCTCCCACTCCATTCCCTTCCTGGCCTTCCCCTTGTCCATACCAGAAGTGGTTGTTGTTGAGTTGCTCTGTCATGTCTGACTCTTTGCGACCCCATGGACTGCAGCACACCAGCCTTCACTGTCCTTCAGTATCCCCAGGAGCTTGCTCAAACTCATGTCCATTGAGTCGGTGATGCCATTCAACCATCTCATCCTCTGTCATCCCCTTCTCCTCCTACGTTTAATCTTTCCCAGCATCAGGGGCTTTTCTAATGAGTCAGTTCTTTGCATCAGGTAGCCAAAGTATTAGAACTTCAGCTTCAGCATCAGTCCTTTTAATGAATATTTAGGGTTGATCATGTTCAATTCCTTCCTGTCTTCTTACACCCAGCTGGTAATCAGATCCTCACTGTATTTCAGGATGCACACTGCCTCTAGCCCCTGGTTCAGGCCACCGTAAACTGTCACTCCACAACCAGCCATAGCTCTTGGGGTCCCGGGGAACTGGGAAACTGCTGAATACAGGCAGTGATCCTGGGAGCTAAGCCTGAGGTGAAAGGAGAGACGGAGAGGTGAAGGTGCCTGAGAGCTGTGATGGTAGAATTATTACAAATTACAAAAATTGGGACTTGCCTGGTGGTCCTGAGGTTAAGAATCTGCCTGCCAGTGAAGGGGACATGGGTTTGAGCCCTGGTCTGGGAAAATTCCACATGCCACGGAGCAACTAAGCCCATGCACCACAACTACTGAAGACTGTGTGCCTATAGCCTGTGCTCCACAACAAGAGGAGCCACTGCTAGGAGAAGCAAGGGTGAGTAGCCCCCAGTCTCCACAACTAGAGAAAGTCCATGCACAGCAATGAAGACCCAGCACAGCCAAAAATGAAACAAAAATTACAAAAATGTATATAAGCAAATCATTTCCTTAAGTTGATGGCTAAATGTTAAAATGTCATTTTTCATACCATTTATAATCTTATCACAGTCCCTTTAACAAAGTTTGGTTAGATTTCAGTGAAAATTATCTTCCAGAGTAGTTCTCGTTCTTCCCACCCCCATGGAAGGGAGGGGGTAACTTTACTGCGATTAACATGTATGGTGAAGAATTTCATGCTAATGAGGCGTGTCAGCAGTGATAATTGAACCACATTTAAACAAAACCAAAAAAGAATGAATGCACATGCTTGCATTGGTGAGGGAGCCTGGGAACCTGCTTGAGCAAAGGGAAGAGGAGCCCCTGAAGGGACGTGAGGACGAGGGACAAGCTCTGGCTGCCCCACCATTTCCTCCAGGTCCAACCAGATGGGATGGTGTCACACCCAACGGAAAAGCCAGGCCAGATCTCAACATTTGCTTTTGAAATCTGCTGCATCAGTCCCTTCCTCGGGACTTCCCTCTTTCCCCCCAAAGTCATTTCCAGCCACTGCTTCTTGGGGAGACTGAATTATCGATTCATAGACTGTATGTATGGAGAGTAAGGATGGACAGTCAGGGCCCCTGGGCATGCTCAGGTTTAATCTTCCATCTACTAACTACCTGCTGTGTGCGTGACTCCCTGCTGACAGCCTCCATCATCCTCTGGGAGAGTTTTTCATGCCAATTTTGTGGGTGGGACACTGGCACTTGGAGTGGTGAAATGACTTGCCCAGAGCAACCAGGGCAGTGCAGCTTGAAAGGAATGGGCCTGGGACTGACCTGAGTCAGTCTGACTGAGTCTGTCTGACTCCAAATCACCGCTCGTTCCCTGCTCACCAGGTATCCTGAGCCTGGATAAGGATGTCCATCACCTGCAGAGCTATTAAGGATTCTGAGTCTACAGGCTTCTGTCATGGCTCAGTGGTAAAGAATCTGCTTGCCAATGCAGAAGACATGGGTTCGATCCCTGATCTGGGAAGATCTCACATACCACAGAGTAGCTAAGACTGAGTGCCACCACTACTGAGCCTGTGCTCTAGAGCCTGGGAACCACAACTGCTGAAGACTCCCTGGGCCCTAGAACCTGTGATCAACAACAAGAGAAACCACCATGATGAGAAGCCCTCGCACTGCAACTAGAGAGTAGCCCATGCAGCAACAAAGACCCAGCACAGCCAAAAAAAAGTTTTAAAAAATAGCACCAACTTTGTATTTCAGGATACTTAAAGAGAATTCTAAGTCCAGGGGCTTTCCTGGCAGTCCAGTGGTTAAGACTCATGTTTCCAATGCAAGGGGCGCGGGTTCAACCCCTGGTTGGGAACTAAAATCCCACATGCCACATGACTGGGCCAAAAAAAGAGAGACAGAGTTCTGAGTCTAAGGACAAACCCCAGAGATTCTGCTTCAGTTGCTTGGAGCTGGAGCTGGGAGTCTGTTTCCACGAGGGCCCCAGGTCTCCCAGATGACCCTGATGCTCAGCTGGGCTAGGACTGGCCCTGCATCAGGTCCCACTGCCTCAAGGTGATAGAAGCTGCTGCCGCAGTGCAGCAGGGAGGGCTTGCTGCTTGCCTGCCCCTGATGAGGCAGCTGCAGCCGTGCACAGGGGTCTGGCCAAGTATGAAAGAATTACACTCAGCAGTAGGCCCAGGAGAGCCTGCTGTAAAGTGGAAGTGCCAGGAGGCAGCTGTGTCCCTTTGTTTTTCCTCCCTAACACCAGGTTCAGGGATTGTAATGTTGAATTCTTTGTGCATTTGACCGAATCTAGTCTTTCTTCTTTCCATCCATCCCATACAGAGATGCCAAGTTAAGCAGCTGGGCACAGTGTCGGCAAATGCCAGCTCCTGTTTGAACATTTGCACTGTCTTCTCCCCATCCAGAGGGCCCAGGTGAAGCTCCTGGCCCCAAGGTGGTCTGATCTGACCTCCTGCTCCTGCCTTCTCTCTTGCTGGTCTCTTTCATGAAGATGCTGGACCCTTTGCTCTGTTTCATCCTTTCTCCCCTCCCTGATTTGGAATACCTCTAGAGCCCTTCTTTATTCTCCAAATCCCATCCCAGCTTAAATATCCCCATCTCCAGGGAGCCCTCCATGATTGGCCTGGCCCATATTCCTTCTTGGAACACTTGCTGCCATTCATGTCTTGGATTCTGCTGTGTCCTGTGATTTTCACATGCCTGTATCCTAAGAACACAAGTAGAGATCGTGTCTCAAGGTCATTGGCTGGGTCTTGAATGTCTTCCCCACTCTGCACCTACATTTCCCAGCTGTGCTTGAAGCCCTGGGTTTTCCTAACAATTTCCTTTTCCCTCCTTCCCCTGTTCTCAAAACTGCCTTGCCCTGTGACCCATCATTCTGCCATGAAATCAGAAAGCGAGTTTGTGATAATTCAGTCATGCTATTTAACTTTTTCATTTTATTAGAAGAAGAGCTAAATTTTATGGCACATCTACCTTTTGTTAGGGGTTGTGCCTCAGTTATCTTATTCATCAGGAAAACTCCCTGAGGTAGGTGTAGTACCCATTTTGTTGATGCAGAAAGTTAAACGATATGCCCAAAGTCCCACAGCCAGTGAGGGACCAAATCCGAAAGTGAGGTTCAGGCAAGGGACATTCAATCCTTTCTGAAGCACAAACTCCTTTCCTGAGCTGCAGTGTTAACAATAGCCGCTAGACGGCATCTGGCAGCAGCCGCGAGCGGGGCAGGCTTAAATGGAACGCTGATGACATACTGAATCTGTTGTGCCTACATTCACCACCAGGGGGCAAGCGGCGGAAAGAAATAGCACAAAAGGGTCGCCTAAGAGGTGTCTTAGCCACTAGACTAGAGAAACTTGTTTTCAAATGAATGGTGAACCCATTACCTTAGGGCTAGGGTAGGTACAGAAGCTCATTGATTATTTTAGTTATTCTAAACATTACAAGTTTCGAAATGTGTTACTGAAATCTTCCTCAGGTATAACTGAAGTACCATCAGTTCAGTTCAGTCGCTTAGTCGTGTCCAACTCTTTGCGACCCCATGAATCACAGCACGCCAGGCCTCCCTGTCTATCCCCAACTCCCGGAGTTTACCCAAACTCATGTCCATCGAGTCGGTGATGCCATCCAGCCATCTCATCCTCTGTCCCCTTCTCCTCCTGCCCCCAATCCCTCCCAGCATCAGGGTCTTTTCCAATGAGTCTACTCTTTACATGAGGTGGCCAAAGTATTGGAGTTTCAGCTTCAGCACCAGCCCTTCCAATGAACACCCAGGACTGATCTCCTTTAGGATGGACTGGTTGGATCTCCTTGCAGTCCAAGGGACTCTCAAGAGTCTTCTCCAACACCACAATTCAAAAGCATCAATTCTTCGGTGCTCAACTTTCTTCATAATCCAACTCTTGCATCCA